GCAGCTGCTCGAGAGCTTGAGGAAGCGATTCGAGGGTAAGAACCCTGCCATTCAGGTTGGGGCCGCGACAGCCAAGCTTCCCGGTAGCAATTTCTACACCGAAAACACCGCTGCCACCTTCACCGTCAAGCACTTTGCCGGCGAGGTCGACTATCCCGTCAAGGGCTTGGTTGAGGAAAATGGCGAAGTAATTTCGGGTGACCTCATGAATTTGATCAACGGCAGCAAGAGCGACTTCGTTCAGCGTCTTTTTGGTCAGGAGGCATTGCAGACTGTGGTGCATCCAAAGGAAAAGACTACTGTCATGCAAGCTTCGGTTAGCTCGAGGCCTATGCGTGCGCCCAGCGTCATGTCAAAACATGGGCGCTCCTCCGCCGCTCGCGATGCCGCCCGTGCTCGTGCTGCTGCCGCAAACGAGAGGAATGCAGCAGAGGCACTGGGAAGCGACGTGGCAGAAGGGAGGCCATCAAGCAGTAGCACACGTTCCTCTGAACAGGGGGCCTCGGGTCAGTTCTTGGGTGCGCTGGAGAACGTGACGCGTGCTCTCAGTATGCCGGGAACCAATTGCTATTTTGTGTTCTGCCTCAAGCCCAACGACCGACGCATTGCAAATCAATTTGACAGCAAGTGCGTGAGGGCACAGGTGCAGACGTTCGGCATTGCTGAAATAAGTCAGCGGTTGCGATCTGCTGATTTCAGCCTGTTCCTGCCCTTTGGCGAGTTCTTGGGTCTTGCGGACTCTGAAACTGTCTTGGTCGGCAGCGAGCGTGAAAAAGTTGAAATTGTTGTCGAGGAGAAGCGATGGCCGAGCAACGAGGTTGCCATTGGCTCAACTGGTGTCTTCCTCAGCGAGAGGTGTTGGATGGAGATCGCGCAGCTGGGAGAAAACTTCTCTCAGTCCGGCCGGTATGGTGTACCTTCGGATATGGGAGATGGCCACTCCACGCCGGCCGATCCGTTTGGTGTATCCAAGGAGCGCCTGCTCATGTCTGGAGGTGTTACCCCTGGAAGCGACAAGAAGGCCGGCTACTTTGGTAGCAACGACATTGACAATCGCTCCGATGCCGGAACGGCCTTTGGGGGTGGTGATATGTTCAAGAACCTCGACACTCGAGAACAAATGGCAGAGCGCGGCAACGAAAAGGACATGGTTGAAGTTGAGGAGTACAAGGATAGTCCTAGTCGTAAGCGCTGGGTCTTCCTGACCTACCTGCTGACATGGTTCATCCCCGACCTTCTCATCAAGCACCTCGGACGCATGCCGCGCAAGGATGTGCGCATAGCATGGCGGGAGAAGGTGGCTATCAACATGATTATTTGGTTCAGTTGCTTGGTGGCGGCCTTCTTCATTGTCGGTTTCCCAATGCTCATCTGCCCCCGCCAACACGTCTACAGCACCGAGGAGCTGTCGTCGTTTGATGGCAAGGATGGCAATCCCGCTTATGCCGCCATCCGTGGCCAAGTCTTTGATATCGGCAAATTTGCTTCGCGTCACCCCATTGATTACCTTGACAAGAAGCTGATAAGGAACTACGGTGGACTGGATATCAGCAATCTCTTCCCTATCCAAGTGTCCGCAATGTGCCAAGGCAAAGACGGGGAGGTCAGTAAATCCGTTCTGCTCTCCTACAAGGACAATAATGTTACGGGCGCCAAGATTCCTCCCAGGGACGATGTTGTTGCAACCTATCACGACTTCCGCCACTTCACCAATGATAGCAGGCCGGATTGGTTCTCACAGCAGATGAAGAAGATGCGGTCCAACTACAAGGTCGGCAACATCGGGTACTCGGCTCAGTATGTCCGCACGCTCGCCAACAAGGGCCGTGCCATTGCCATTCTGAACAATCGGGTGTATGATTTGACCGAGTACACCAAAGGTGGCCGACTTCAGAAAAATCCTCCCGGCGAACCTGAGCCAGAGGACCCGCTGGCTACTGATTACATGCATCAGACAGTCGTCCAACTCTTTCAAGAAAAGTCTGGTGATGATGTTACCAAGATCTGGGAGACCCTGGACCTGGGTGACAATTCGGCAGTCGTGATGTCTCAAATGCAACTCTGCCTGGACAATCTCTTCTATATTGCCGACGTTGACACTCGTAGCTCGGCACAGTGCAAGTTCTCCGAGTACCTTGTGTTATCAATCTCAATTCTTTTGGCAAGCGTGATCGCTTTCAAGTTCTTTGCCGCTCTTCAGTTCGGAAGCAAGAACATGCCCGAAAACCTGGATAAATTTGTCATGTGTCAAATTCCGGCCTATACCGAAGACGAGGAGTCGCTTCGTCGTGCCATCGATTCGGCGGCTCGCATGCGCTATGACGACAAGCGTAAACTGCTTATCGTTGTGTGCGACGGCATGATTATTGGTCAAGGCAACGACAGGCCTACTCCTCGTATTGTGCTCGATATTCTGGGTGTTTCGGAAACCGTCGACCCTGAGCCCCTGAGCTTTGAGTCGTTGGGCGAGGGTCTCAAGCAACACAACATGGGCAAGGTTTACTCTGGTCTATACGAAGTTCAGGGACATATTGTGCCTTTCCTGGTCATCGTCAAGGTTGGCAAGCCATCTGAGGTCTCGCGTCCTGGTAACCGTGGCAAGCGTGATTCGCAGATGATCATGATGCGCTTCCTCAACCGTGTGCACTACAACCTTGCCATGAGTCCACTTGAACTCGAGATGTACCACCAAATCCGCAACATCATTGGTGTTAACCCGACCTTTTACGAATACCTATTGCAGATCGATGCAGACACGGTTGTTGCCCCTGATTCGGCTACTCGCATGGTGTCGGCCTTCCTTGACGATACACGCCTCATCGCCGTGTGCGGTGAAACGGCTTTGACCAACGCCAAAGCTTCATTTGTCACCATGATTCAGGTCTACGAATACTACATTTCCCACAACTTGTCAAAGGCGTTCGAGTCTTTGTTCGGCTCCGTTACCTGTTTGCCCGGTTGTTTCTCCATGTACCGCATCCGCGCCGCTGAGAACGGCAAGCCATTGTTCGTCAGCAAAGAAATCATCGAAGGCTACTCTACGATTCGTGTCGATACGCTACACATGAAGAATCTGTTGCATCTTGGTGAGGATCGTTATCTGACGACTCTTCTTCTCAAGTTCCACTCCAAGTACAAGACCAAGTACATCTTTGATGCGCACGCTTGGACCATTGCTCCCGACTCCTGGGGCGTTTTCCTCTCGCAGCGCCGTCGCTGGATCAACTCGACTGTCCACAATCTGATGGAGCTTATCCCCATGAATCAACTTTGCGGTTTCTGCTGCTTCAGTATGCGCTTTATCGTGTTTGTCGACCTCATGTCTACGATTGTTCAGCCTGTCACCATTGCCTACATTGTATACCTTATCGTCATGGTGGTGCAGAAGTCGACCGTCATCCCAATTACGGCCTTCGTTCTACTTGGTGCGATTTACGGTCTTCAGGCTATTATTTTCATCTTGCGTCGCAAGTGGGAAATGATTGGTTGGATGATTCTTTATGTTTTGGCTGTTCCCGTCTTCAGTTTTGGTCTGCCGCTGTATTCATTCTGGCACATGGACGATTTCAACTGGGGTAACACTCGTGTCGTTGCCGGCGAATCTGGCAAGAAGGTCCTCATTTCGGACGAGGGCAAGTTTGACCCTGCCTCGATCCCCCGCAAGAAGTGGGAAGAGTACCAGGCCGAGTTGTGGGAGGCCCAAACCTCTCGCGACGATGCCCGCTCGGAGATTTCTGGCTTCTCATACGCCACCAAGCCTAATGTTGCTGTGTCCGAGTATGGCTATACTCCCTCGCGGCCTGCCAGCACCACTGGCTACCCCATGATGCCCAGTGCTCAGAACAGGATGTCGCTGGCCGCCAGTGACATGTTGATGGCTGGTAACCGCCAGAGCCAGTTCGGTGGCAGCCAGTTCATGACGCAGACGCCGAGTCAACAGGAGCTGGAGATGACGAACCTGGCTGGCATGCCTAGCGATGATGCGCTGTTGGCGGAGATTCGTGATATTCTCCGGACGGCTGATCTGATGACCGTTACGAAGAAGGCGATCAAGCAGGAGCTTGAGCGTAGATTTGGCGTACCACTTGATTCGAGAAGAGCGTATATCAACTCTGGTGAGTTTTAATTTCCTCTGTTTCTTCAACTAATGGATAATGGCTAACCTGTCGAATAATAGCTACCGAGGCCATTTTGTCAGGACAACTCTAAACACTAATCTAATGCTTTAGCATATGTGATGTTGCCATGTTTTAATTACAACAGGGTTCTCATCTGGGGGAAGGGATTTTTTTTACACTTACGGGATTTTCTTGTATAAGGAGAAGGGAGGTTTAGAAAAGACTGTCTGCTTTTTTTCTTTACTTTTTTGGACATTCATCGCACGCACACACACGCAATTCATAGCATTGCTATTTCCTTTTTTTCCCCCTCCTTTTTTCATTAACGCCGAACATTGCCGAGATCATCGCTACAAATCACATGAAAGCCGTCATCACTTTCTGATTTTCCTTGTGATAATTTTGTTTATTAGGGGTTTGGTCATTGTATTCTTTTGTTGGATATATCTATTTTGGAGAGTATGATGAGGAGCAAGTTGTTACTGTTCGGTTACATTTCTTGAACTCATTCAATGTATACAATTAATGCGGAGAAGAAGATATATTCTTAAAGAATGATGAAAGTTGTCTTGTGTTTCTGAAATTGGTGTGTGGCCTTCCTTGACAGGAAGGGTTTCAGTGAGCTTATGTGGTGAACATGATAAGAAATTGAGAGAACTCCCACCACGACATAACGAGTTCTCCTCTCCTATCAACCGCACTGATTTGCGTCAAGTCGTCGTCGGACAAGGAAACCTGAATTGGGATCTCCTTCTTTTTCTAAAGAAAACCCGGGGAGGGAGGGGCATCAATTGCAGAGGTTTGAGCGGAGGGGCGGCAAAAAGCATAGTTCAAGTGTCTTTCTTCCGGAAAGCAGGGAGAAACACTAAAAAGTTTAAAGCTTGACAAGAGTGGGATTCGAACCCACGCCCTTTCGGACCACGGAATCTAACTTTAGGGAGAAGATGTTGATTAAGGGTATTAACCTTAACGTGGCGCCTTAGACCGCTCGGCCATCTTGCCTTGTGTATTGCTTTGTTGAGGTCTTGTGTCTGCGTCGAGGATCAAGTGCAGAGGTCGTTCATTGGGTGCAAGCGCGCAGCTTTTTTCGACGACTACGGGTGTTCAAAAATCTGTTTCGCTCCGCTCGTTTGATTGAATGGCTGAATCGATTGAAATTGCGAGGATGGAGAGATCTCATTTCGCCAATAGTAGCGTCAGATTCGTGTGTGTGTGTGTGTGTGTGCTGGGTTTGGTTGAGGCGGCCGTTGTGCTGACGTCGAACCGTGGAAGAGTCGAGGATGGTTCCCGTGGAGTCGTCAACCGCAATCAACTGTGGTTTGTGTGGGGATTGCTTGAACTGGGTTTTGGTTTTTCTCTGCCAAACGGTCGGTATAATAGTTCGATAGCCATTTCAAACCTGATCAATCGTGTAAGTCAGAAAGTTGGCTGGTTGAGAATTAGATGTGGAAAGAAGAGATACTGATGGTCACCAGTTGATCTTCTCAAGAACGCACCCTTTTCGTAGTTTATGGTCCAAGTAGATAGGAAATGATTCGTCTCTGATCTGGCTGAGCGCAATTACCTGTAGCTTGTTCTCATGGTAGCTGCCAGATTTGTTGGTGTTGTGGTCGATCTATCACACGAAGCGTATGCACAGTAAACTGAGAATTTGTATTAAGCACAAACCAAATGGGCAAAAAAAAAAAATTAATTTTTTTTGAAATCAAACTTAAACTGACTATGAGAGGAAACTCATTGCAATTTTGTTAGGTAACCCCTTAAAAACCAAGCAAAAGCTCTTGATGTCTGCTTCTCCAAATTTTTTTTTTTTTTTTGGGTAAACACGCTCGTCAGGTGAGCTCGTGAGCCCCTGGGCCACCCTTTTCCCCCAACCGCAGTCAAAACGAAGGAAAATGAGAGAGAAGTGAGGAGAGATTTTTTAACCATGCCAAAATTTTAGCATGAGCTAAGAAGAAAAATATCGATAAATATTAGTTTGACCGTACCGTGTGCCGGATCCCACTTGCGAGAGGATGTTGATAAAAACCAAGATAGAGATAGAGATCCAAAGAGCGAATTAAGTGTGGCCAGTTTGGCTCAGTTCGCATCACGAACTAGCCTGGCACCGACCCAGGCGTAGGGGTAGTTCCGCTGGTACCAGTTGACACTATGATGTCATTAGTATACTGTTTCGAAACCATGTCAGCATGGCAAAAAAACTTACAAACTCTTCCTTCCAGCAATGCGAGGGTGTGTAGCCCACGAGCCACCAAGCACGATGTTATGCTTCTCATCAAAGAAGTCCGCAGTATACCCTGGGTACAACTCCATCGGCGTGAATCCTTCCCATCTGCGTAGCACAGAACTGGTCCACTCCCACACGCCGCCCATCTCCGCCTGGCCAGCCAAGGAACCACCACGTCCAGTCACGGGCATTGGATGCCAATGATGCATGCCGATGTTGGCGCCATCCAAATCAACGAACAGATCATCACGCTTGCTGACGCCGGCCTCCGAAGCTGCGGTTGTGGGAGTGGCCGGAGGTGAGATTTCGACGCCATTGTTGCACAGGTGGCTGCGGCGATAAACGTCAGCTTCTGAGCGATGAAGGAAAATTTCCGTAAGCACTTACGCATTCACGGCTGGCACGGTCTTGCCAAGCTGTTTCTCGACGTCCTTTTTTTTCAACTCTTCGGCGTAGGCGTAGATGCTCCTGGCTTCCTCAAATGTCGGGATCCGACCTCCCATCCAGGAAGCGCAGCCCGCAAGCTCGTCGTACGATGCGAAAACTGGCCAGTCAAGTGCAAGCTTCAGGGGCACAAGACCATATACTGTCCGGACAGCTTTGCTGTCCAGAAATGATTTCGGGAGTGAAGAAGTGCAGTTTGTGTGACAATCTGTGCGACTGTGGTGTCCATTGGTTCCGTTCCTGACGACATTGTCGGACCAGGATGCCGGCAACTTTTCAATGCCATTGTCGTACATGTATTGTGCATACTGGGTTAGGTATGTTAGAACCAAAACAAACCGTTGTCAAACTTTGAAATCGGCATACCTCCTCGTTGGTAAATGGTCGTCCTTGAGCTTGGAATGAGTGGACTTTCGCCTGTCTTACAGGCTTTTCGTTATCCCTGTATAATTTGATCAGTACCAAAACAAAAGAGCAATCAATTTCGGATGCAGATGTCTTACCAGCCATAATGGGCATCTGGATCAGTGCCATCTTCAGGATCCTGTATGCCGATGGTAATCTCCTGCTCAGGAATTGTGAACCACTCGTTGGGAACTCTCTCAGATCGTGCCTTGAGCGCGAGCTTCTCAAAATCTGGGACCGGGAAGTGAGATGGCGGCTTTGTCCTATTACTCTGGAGCATCATGTAAAGGAGGGTCTCGATATGCATGATCTCATGCTCGAAGCCCACCCAGACAGCCCGACCCACATGCCGTGGAATACTATCTGGGCCACCTGCATACAGAGTCCGCACTCTGCCCCGCACACGGGCTTGATAGGCTAGGATTTCTTCGACTGGAGGCCACTCGTCAGGTATCTCTGAGTGTGCATGGCACATCTCCGGATTGTCGACATCTGGGTCGATACCTCTCTCAAAGATCTGTGCGTAGTTTGACGGCTCAGTAGGTGCCTGTTTGGTGGTCTTGGTCAACTGGATATCAAGAAACGTGGGGATATGGCCCAAGTAGAAAATGCAAGCATTTCGGAGCTTGATGGGCTTCTCCAGAAGCTCATCATGAGGGAGCATTTCGCGAGTAACGACATCCCAGGCTGCCCACAGTGCCTCCCAGTCTTCCAGGGCCGGCAAAGCCCCACGGGCATACACGGAGGAAATCAGGCTGAATGACATCTTGGATTTGGTGAGAAGGTGAAGACCTGCAGGAAAGGGTCGTGTTAGTTGTATGCAGTCTACTAATGTACAAGCAATGCAAGTCCAAGGCTTGGGTGGTGTCAACCCCGCAGCCCAACACCACCACTTGGGGGAGTCATGGAAGGATCCCGCTACATTCGGCAGTGTCATGATAGTGTATCGCGGAAGCGAAGTGTCGTACGACTAACTGGCCCCCACGTGTCACGAAAACGTGGGGTGTGAAGCTTTGTGGAAGCCAGTTAGGGTCGCCGGGATGGAGAAGAGCCCATTGTGCGAGTTTCAATCCAGTCAAGGAATCCAGGGCCAACTCACCATATTCGTTGCCATGCATCCACTTGCCAATCTCGGTCATTCCCGCCGAGTCCCAGAGTTTCTGCGTCTCCGCTGGTGACCACTTCAAGCTCTCCTCGACTTGGATTCTCTCGTGTGGCCGAATAAGCTGACCCATGACTGTGATGTCACGATAAGGGGCATAGAAGGCTTGGTGGCGCCCTCCTTCGGCGTCATAGACATACTCTCCAATGACTCTCCAGTCGCTCTCCTCAAAGACGGTCTCTCCAAGGACCTTGTTGGCGTTCCGGAGACCATTGAGTATGAACCTGGATTTGTCAGAGAGTCGGTTCACAAGGTCCTTTACAGGGTCTCGGGTGTTACGTACTCATGCGTGACGCCCTCTTTGTCTATATGGCGAGCATGTTAGGGTCAGCACAACGAACACAACAAGTGTGGTAACACATACCGTTATAAGCATGACTGTGATTGTAGTCAGCAATATTCATGGCTAAGGGCGGCAAAATCAGATTTCAACTTACTAGACCCTACCCGGGTCGTTGCAGGCGTCCACTCCAATCAACATGGTATCACCGTGGCCAAGGACATCAGCAAAGTTTTTAAGAAAGGAGGCCGCATCACTCCGGTCAAAATTTCCTGGCACAACTACGTCAGGCGCTGGCAAGCGAGAGATCGGGCAAAAATGAACTCACCAATACTCGAACCGAGGCTCAAGATGCATTTGCGTCTTGAGGTATTGGATGGGTTCTTGAGCCACTCCCGTCCGTCGTCATAGGTCCCCAGCAGACCGTGAGCATGAACATGGTGGTATGTGGGCAGCTGAGCAAGCGTTCGCTCAAGCTCTTGCCGTGACAGATCCAATGCGTAGTAGTCAATGTCTTTGCCGGCGTTCTCAAGAGCTTGTAGGAGGTAGTTGACTTTTCGCAGGTTTCTAGGTGTTCGGTCAGCAAATATGTCCAACTTCCATGCTCCACAAAACCCCCTATCACTGCAACTCACCCACTTCCCAGCTCAATGATCATGGAGCCTGAGGGAATTCCCTTGACAATGTCCGCAGCACATGACTGAATGATTTCGATCTCGTCATTGGTCAGGTAATACTCCTCCAAGTATGTGATCTAGAGCTCGGTTAGTGGCTGGGGTTCTAACTATAGTCAGAGCGGAGCAATTTACCTTCTCGAACAGCTGTAAGCCCCTTTCATCATAGAGAAGAAGTGTAGGCAGCTTTCTAGGGCCATCAGTGGGGTTGAACTGGGAGAATATTTCTGCTTTAATGTTGATTTCAACCTCAACACGACGAATGTCAATGATGTCGAGCACTCCTGTATCCTTTTTACCCTTCCACAGGCCGGGAAGGGTACCATACGGCACTACAGCTATCTCTCCTACACCGGGCATTTTGCTGTAGTTGATTGACGGCCTTGCTTGAGTTGAGGTTTAGTGATGGTGTTTTCTGCAAGGAAATGATGTGCTATCATAAGATGACGCCAGAGCAAGCTGGAAACGGGAGCAACAAGTATATATATAATGGGGTATGATGTATTCGGGTCCGGGTTACCGGGTTGTGGGTTGGCGAAACAAAGAACGGGATCTAAGTTAGTTACAGTCTGGGACGCATACAAGTCTCCACGGATGTGTAAAATAATACTGGAAATTTGGGGAGACTTCACATTGTAGCGTGACTACAGAACCACAGGTGGACTCATGACCAATAACGCACCCCATCGCGGTGGATCGGTTCTCGCTCTTCATTGCCAATCAAGGCATCAAATTGGACACCATGAGGCCCGGTTCCATCGAAAGCTCTTGCCCGGAAGCTAAGGGAACAGAAGAGGTCCAAAGAAAGAA